TAAAACCTAAATGTCTGGTACTTTTTGTATTTTTTTTTTTTAAACACAGGATATTTCCTCTGAGCCAAAAATAATCCTCTACTACATCAGAAATCGAACTGTACCACTCCCTGGTGTATTTTTTCAGGGAGATGTCAAATTAGGAAGTTTTGATATGCATCTCTCATCCGTGACCCATGAGAACAATGGGACGTATTTGTGTAGATTGCGTCTCAATGGCAGTTTTCACACGAATCAAACACGCCTCATTGTGCAATCAGGTAGAAAACTTCTTTTTTTTTTTTGAGTTTATTTATTTTATTAAGTTACTGGTAACACTTTGCAATAAGGTATCATTTGTTAACATTAGTTAATGTATTATCTAGCATGACCTAACAATGAACAATACATTTGTTACAGTATTTATAAATCTTTATTAATCTTAATGAATGAAAATACAGTTATTCATTGTTTGTTCATGTTAGTTTACAGTGCTTTAACTAATGTTAACAAATACAGCTTTTGATTTTAATAATGCACTAATACATTTTGAAATTAACATTAACTAAGATCAATAAATGCTGTAGAAGTATTGTTCATGCTTAGTTCATGTTAACTAATAGAGTTAACTACTGTTAACTAATGAACCTCATTGTAAAGTGTTACCAAATTACTGGACAAAGGGATAATATTATTCAACAATGACACAATAAATTGATCACAAGTGACAGTAAAGACATTTACAAAAGATTTCAACTGTAGTCAGTTTTACTGATGAGTAAAATGAATCTTTTTGAGGAAACAGAAAGACCTGATAGTGCTTACGTGTTAAATGTTCAGTTATGTTGGACATACAATAGCTTGAGTTAAGATATTGTATGCATGCATGTTCTGTGATCGTCTGATTGGGGACAGGCCCAATGACATAGATGTGCCTACCCTTGTATTAATGTATTTAATCTATTTTAGTTCCAAATTAATAACCAGTATAGTACTTGTTCACATTCTAAATGTAAATTTTGCAGCATGCAAATCTAACGAACAAGTAAAATAAATAAATAAATAAATATTTGTTTTGCTTTAGCTCCTTTTAATTAATTAAACTAAGAAAACAGCTAAAATATTTTTTTTAAGTGTTGAATGATTTCTGTATGCTCATGTGACACTGAATAATGGCTGCTGAAAATTCAGTTTTGCATCACGGCGAATAAATTACATTAAAAATAAAACAAAAAAGAAAAGAGTTATTTTAAATCGTCATAATTTTTCACAATATTACTGTTTTTTACTGAATTTTTGATCAAATGAATGCAGCTTTGGTGAGCATAAGAGACTTCTTTCAAAAACATTTAAATATTACGGACCCCAAATTTGTGCATATTACTTATTGAGTCCTCTTTGTATTTAAATAATGTTTTCAGCTTTTAGCTTGCTATGAAAATAAAAAAGAAAAAAAAAATTGACCTTTGTAAAAGTTTTAAATAGTTGTAATCCATAGCATGCAGTAAACAACTGTCAAAGTTTATTTATTACCATTTTAAAGGTTTCTATATGTGGATTAGTTTAAATAAGAGCTCCAAACTCAATTTTCCTCTTTATTTTCTTCAGTACTGACCAGGAAAAACAGTCCAGGTGTGAATCGTCTGCAGGCACATCCTCCCTGGTGGCTGCCCCTGGCGTCAGTGTCTGGGTTTGTGTTACTAATTGGAACCGTGTTTTTGGGGAGGAAGGCTTGCAGATCAACCCAAAGAGAAAACAACTCAAAGTAAGTCATTGTCAGTTCACAGAGAGATATAGCAGCTTGTAGGGTATTTTTCTGGCTTCATGTTGTGCTTCATTTTCTACTAGGCAAAAAATAGAAGAGGTTAAAACCAACACTGACAATGAAGACAAGAGAATGGCATACAAGGTAACACACTATCTTTGCAACTTCCTTCTGCATGTCTGCTCTCATTTCCTCTCTTTGCTTTCTGTACTTGATAAAGTCAATTATTAAATCAAATTTTCATTGATTTATGTTGACTCTGTTTAATTTAAGACAACAGTGGTTGAGGTTTGATTCTGGAATGTTTAAATATTTTTGGGGTTGTTGTATGGGTTTTGAAGATGACTTTTCAGCTTATTTTGTGTCTCAGGTGGGATACAGCTCTTTGCCTGATCTGGCAGATGTGAACAGTCCTCCCAGCAGTCCAGACAACATCTATGTTACCATGGTAAGATTCAGTGGACTTGAAAAAGTCATATGTGAATATATGAGTTATGTTACAAAATGTTCTTGTCAGATAAAGAATATCTTCATCTGTTTATACAGTGCATTAAAACATTTTCTGTAAACTGTACTTTTTTTTTTCAAACACCACAAAAAATGTTAAGTGAGAGTAGATATTGCCTGCTTTTGAACGTCCCTTGTGAAAAAGAAGTGTGCATAATTGTATTTATACTTATTGTGCACTTCAAATCCTTAAAGTATATTTAAAGAGTTCAGATGCAAAAGCCTCTAAGTGCTGTCTGAAATTTTTATCTGAAATTAGCATTTTTATCAGGCTCCTATATTTATGTTCATTTATTTCACTTTAATGTCATAGATAAGGACCTATACATTGTCATTAAAGTAAAATTACAGAACCTAAACATATGAGCCTCATAAAAATGACAATTTTAGAAGAAAATTTCAGTTGGCACTTAGAGGCTTTTTCATCTGAACTCTTCATTTTTAAAAACCTGTACTTGCTAATAATAAGATATTAATGATCTAAAAGGCCACTTAAGTGTAGAGAGACACTTTCATGACTGTTTCTTAACACATTTCAGTACACTCTTAAAAAAGTGACTTTCAATATCAATTTCAAATTAAACATTTAACGTGCATTTTAAATAATTTTATTAACTATTTTCATGCTTTAAATAAGTACACTTATTTTGATGTGCTGATTAACATACTGTACCTAAGCACATGTGAAGTACTTGATTATAATTTTAACACAAAGTTGGTATATTTAAAATATACTAAATTGCAACTTCATCATTACGAATGTGTAAATACAAACCTATTTAAAAACATGACATACACGTTTCAACAGAAATTACATTATGCCTATCAGTATACCATAAATGCCTATCAGTACATTCAATATAATATTTCATGGACAACAGAACTGTGAAATTACATATAAAGATGTACTGAAGTTATAAAGCCCTCTTTAAACCCTATATATATATATATATATATTCTTTTTTTTTTTTTTTTTTAAGACCAAGTGCATATTACATTTTCTGTTGATTTATTTAATATTACAAAACAATGATAATAACATACTTAATCAAATGTCATGCGGAGGTTAATCATGCACATATTAATTATATTCTTAATGACTTGATAATCTTCATTATTGTAAGTGAAATTATATGTATGTGCATATGCATACATCACTTCATGTGTAAACTGATTATTAACCATTTATCACAGGAAAAAAAAGTGTTAACAAAATGTAAAATGGCTTCTGTTTGTGTGTGTTTGTGTGTATTCTCAATGGCTGGAAGCAGCATGGTTTCCCATTTGCACCAGATGCTCCTGTCACAGCTGGACGCAGCAGACGTCTTCCCTCTGACTGGCAGCCAAAGGATGAGGATCCCACATATGTCCGCTGCCACCAAGATTTATCAATCAGATCATGTCGCTTACAAGATGAGACACAAAATAACTGATTATTTAAATGAATGAGAGTAAAAGTCATCTGTATTGTCAGATACGTATAAGTGTGACGTGACATGTGGCCAAGTATGGTGACCCATACTCGGAATTAGTGCTCTGCATTTACCCATCCAAAGTGCACACACACAGCAGTGAACACACACCCGGAGCAGTGGGCAGCCATTTTTGCTGCGGCGCCCAGGGAGCAGTTGGGGGTTTGGTGCCTTGCTCAAGGGCACCTCAGTCATGGTATTGAAGGTGGGAAAGAGCGCTGTACATTCACTCCCCCCACCTACAATCCCTGCCAGTACGAGACTCGAACCCACAACCTTTGGGTTATGAGTCCGACTCTCTAACCATTAGGCCACGACTTCCCCATAATATAGTCCCCCACAGGCCTGTTTGCATTTCTTGTTTCTTCAGTACTCACCAACTGAGTATACATTATCCCTCATAATAAATCTGTGTTCATCTGTCTAAATATGCATGCAGTTCAATGTCATTTTGATTATGTAGCTTTCTTTTTGTCCACATGCACCTCTTCCATCATCTGCGAGGTGTCAACGGTGGTCAGTTACTGCACTTCACTGTGAGCTTTTCCGCTTTATCTTCTCAATGACTTCTCATCAGCATGAAATTGCCACTTCTTCTAACAGACCCACTGTCTCTGTTTCCGAGGCAAACACGTTTTTTTCCTGAAGTCCTAATAGTGGAGAAGTGATTACACACTTAAGTATTCACGCCAACTCTGCCCTTTGAGATTCGAGGAACCACAGACAAAGAGTTGTATAAACCACTAATAAAACTAGTGGCTAAAACCATTATTGGCATCAAGGCATACCCTCAATGTACTCTTGTTTCATTAATCAGATAAAAACACTGCTTTATGGTAGATGCCTATGTAAAAAGTATAGCTTTAATAAGCTTCATCATCATCATCATCGTCGTCGTATTTTTCGGCACCATTCTCATCCCATATGTGTATTTCCACATCCTGCTCAATTCTAGTGCACAAATTTGGTCTTAATTAGTGAGGAGATGAGGAGACGTGGTCCTACTGCAAGCTAGCGCCTCATTATTTGGTTTTGCGCCAACGGCCGCTTGGATTTTCTTAGACTGATTTCTGACTTTTCTCAATTGAGGAGAGACACATAATATAGATTTTTTTTCCTTTTTATTTTTAATCTTGTGAAATTAGTCATATCATATTTTATGTTCTGCTATTATAGTGTATTATAACATGTTTCAATTGAAACCTCAAGTACTACAAATGACAAACCACAACCACGATATCAACCAGATTTCCTGCTACAGACACTGCCAGCCATATCACAGCACAAAATAAAAACATTTTCCCTGGGTTTTTTTTTTTATATAATTGAAACGAAGAAATAGATCTCAAACGCTTTTCTGTTCTTATTTTTCGCTACGTTTATTGGCATCGACCAAAATGCATATGTTGCATTTTGGGAAAGCGCAGTGGGCCTCCGCTTTGAAATTACCCTGTGTTGCATTGGTGATATTTCTGGGTAAGTAAAACAAAGCTTCTGATACGGAAAAAAAAAAAAGACCATTCGACGTTCTAAATAATTTCAATGTACCAGCCAAACAGAAGTTTGCAGTCTAGCCAGGTGTATGCGTTATAAGAAAGGATGCTAATAAAAATTAGGCGTATGTCATTACATCATAGCGTTGTATAGTTATTATTGTTACAGATCATCTGTAAAACATTAAGCAACCCTGTTGTGTTTTTCACATCGCCATCATCATTATCCCCGCTTTGGTTGTGATGCCATAGCCTATGTGAGCGCATTCAGCTTGAGTATGCAACGCAAACAGGACATATTATGTCTATATTATGTTTATTCTTATTTTCCCATTCACTGAATAGGAAACAGCACTTCTGAGTGTTTCAGTCAAGCAGCTTTGGTAAACACTGGTTTAATGAATGCGGGTTTAATGATCTGTTTTGCATTATACAATCAGGTCTGTGTCATATTGATGAAACAGAGTTCATATTTGGCAAAATATTGTGACTAAAATGTAAGGTAATGAACTTCATGCTGCCTCCCATTGGCTGTTCAGTAAATATGCTGATAAAAGAGAAAATGAAAAGAAAAAAAATACAATAAGATAAAACTCAAGAATTGAAAGAGGGATACTACTACTACTACTAATAATATGACAGTTGAATAAGGAAAATACTGGAGACAACTTTGGGGTGAAGAAAAGGGGCTTGATGGTGTGAATCAATGCTGAACAGAAGTTGCATGTTTACATTTCACTTTGTAAACTCAGTAAAGTAATAAAATAAAACGCAAATATCGAAAAACATCAAGGAATGTCTGAACAAATAAGCAAGCAAACAAGTCTAGTTAAAACCATTCATAACCAATGTGCATGTTCTGGTTATTTTGCGAATAGGTTTACTGCTACAGCTGTGGCCTCATAAAACGGTTTCTGGTAAAGGTTGCATGAGGATTATGCATTTCAGCAGAAGACAGATGACCTACTTTCTTGTGAATAATCCATGTGGTATTGTCCACAAATTTTAATACATTAAAATGTTCTTAGCGAACATCTGTTCATTGTAGGCTTGACATAAACGAAAAGGAGTTGTACACACCAGAAGAGTTTCGCAAAGCTGAATGGGGAAGTTGAATTCAAGTTCAAGTGAAAGCAATGCAGTTTTTCGAAAAAGCCACCAGAGGGCGTGAAACACATTGTTTCGGTGATGGTAGAAGAACATGACCTGCAGTTATAGTAAAACCCAGTTTCACTGAACTGTCTATCTCAAAAGTCATCCTAATTCTAATCTTAAATTATCTCATGAGGTTAGATGATATGGCCATATATCAAAATATAAGCGCCTTAACTATTAGACATGTTCTAAATATAATTATTAAATGGCATTTTTTTTTGCAATGGTATAAATGTGGCTTAAGTGTTATATTGTATGTATGAATATAATATATTGCATGTATGAATTTTAATACAAGTTTTGTCCTCTAGAGTACTGGTCTTATATAGTGACTTCCTTTGGCAAAATTATTTGCATATCAATACCATATTCAGGTATACAGATAAATACTATGGGCGTTAGCAATATTTGTGCGGAATCCTATTCTCCAAGAGATTGAAGTTAATAATACATTTCAGTCGGCTTCCTGGAAAATACTGAATTATTCCACAAGCCCCAAAAGCTATTGAACTCAGTTTCATTATTGAAACCTTCTCCTCTTCTTCTTCAGAACCATTGCAAATAAATAGATAGATAGATAGATAGATAGATAGATAGATAGTAATAATAATGTCACAATATCACAGTTTTTACTGTATTTTTGATCAACTAATTCAGACTTGCTGAGCATAAGAGACTTATTTCAAAGACATTTAAAAACACATCAAACACAAAGTTTTGAATGGTAGTGTATACAAAAAAAAAAAAAAAAATGTCACGACGACTCTCAGAGAGTTTTGCATGGTAATATATATATATTGCAATGTTAATGTGTTTGGTTTTGGTGGAATAGATCTGTTATGCTGCTGCTGCAGAGCAAGTATGGAGACTTGCCACTGCCAATACATCCACAGACATGCTGCTGTGAGCATGTAGGAAATACTGAGAGTCGTGTTTCCATTCACTGTCATTGTATGGGGAAACCTGGACATTCTGCTATAAATAACTAATTTTGTGCTCCACAGAAGAAGAAAAAAAGAGTCATACAGATTTCAAGACGTGAGGGTGGGTAAATGATGACAGAATATTCATTTTGAGGTGAACTATCCCTTTAAATAGTGAATCAATAGATAAAATGCAACTGCAGTAGTACAGTTGTCTGTAAGATGAATGTGACATATGGTAGACTATGAGAAAAATATCTGCTTCTGACTGAAATACAGATGCCTGGATTGCCTCACTCAAAGATTTGCCCACAATATTTCAGTCATTAGGCAGAAATACACTATATGTGGTGTACGGATCCATCTAAGCAGATTTGTTGTGGTTACATCAATTTTAACAACCTTATACTGTTCACTTTTGAAATTAAAGAGATTATAACATAATTTAGAAATGCCACATGAATATGTGAGGAGTAAGCTGAACAGTAAAACTTCCCAGTGCTGTTAGACTGTATATCGCACACTTAGAATGCCACTCATGTATATATCACATATCACACACACACACTAACTCAGTGGTTCTCAAAGTGTGGGGCGCGCCCGCCAGGGGGGGCGCACGAGTATTGCAGGGGTGGGGGCACGGGTCATCAGCAGAAAAAGAAAATAAATAAAACGGTAAACAGCCAAAGGACGTAACTTAGAATGGGAGATGGATCGGTTTGTGAAAGGGAAGAGAAAAGCCATAGATGAAGTGGCACAGACCCAGGCAGGGCATATCTTGCTCTCGGCTTCACTCACTGTGTCTATACCAGACGCTACAGTTGTCGTGTCGCGCCGCAAGTCTACACTGGACGCGACAAAGTGACCGTTTGAATCTGCCTTTTGCCACACGCATTCTTCTCGCATTCTTCTCCTTTTTTCCATCACATATCAGATCGGAAATGCATTTATTTTCAATAAAAATGAAGGAAATATCCTAAAAATGGAAGTGCCTCACAGGTATTTAAAGGGGTCATATGATGCGATTTCATTTTTTCCTTTCTCTTTGGAGTGTTACAAGCTCTTGGTGCATAAAGAAGATCTGTAAAGTTGCAAAGACTAAAGTCTCAAATCCAAAGAGATATTCTTTATAAAAGTTAAGAGTCAACCACGCCTACCTAAAACGGCTCGTTCTAAGACGCCCCCACATGTCTACGTCACGATGTGAGAAGATTTGCATAACGCTGCCCAAATGTTCATGCAAAAAAAGAAGGCGTAACTTTTATTTTCGCTGTAGTATTGTTGTTGCCGCTGCTGCCATGTCGTGAAGGCGCTGTGTGTTTCGTTGTGAACGCGAAACTACTTTGTTTGGCCTTCCAAAAGAGGACGATATCCGCTTCGTCATGCCTGGAGCTGATCCGTGCTGGTCGCTGAGGAAATACATCAACTTCGCGCTGTGGATGGCTGGATCGGCTTTCACCGTGGACAAAGCGGAGTCCAGCCCGGGGTCGTCACATGTGGTTGCCGCAAGCCCGCCGGCCACTCCTTCATCGAATCCGCCGGTCTCTAGCCCGCCGGCCGTTCCTCACTCTAGCCTGCCGCCCGCCGCTCACTCAGCCCGTCGTGTGTGACGCTTGTGAAAGCGAAACTACTTTGTTTGGCCTTCCAAAAGAGGATGATCACAAATGCAGACATTAGTTTATGTTTACGCGGCGCGATGCAACACAACGATTAAAAAGACAGTATAAGTGATTATAATCAGTAATTATGTCCCCACTGGATGCAACAAATGCCTCGTTTATAATGAGTTTTAATGTTTTTGTCTCGTAGCTCCGGGAGACTGCATCACAGTATGGTAAGGGGCGTAACATTTCCGTCACACGCTTGAGGTATTCGGCCAATTACAATGCACTGGATAGCTGGCCAATCACAGCACACCTCACTTTTCAGACCGATGAGCTTTGTAAAAATCGACGCGTTTCAGAAAGGCAGGGCATAGAGGAGAAACGATAATGGACATTATGTGGAAAATAATGTGCTTTTTGAACCTTAAACGCATAAACATTTCATTACACCAAATACACCAAATAATGTTCTTTTTAGCAACGTCATATGACCCCTTTAATAATAAAGTGTTTTATCGGGTAGGGTTAGGTGTAGGGAGAGCTTTGTTGTCCTAATAAGTCATCCATTTACATTACATTTACATTTATGCATTTAGCAGATGATTTTATCCAAAGCGACTTACAGTGCATTCAGGCTATACATTTTTTTTTTTTACCAGTATGTGTGTCCCCTGGGAATTGAACCCACAACCTTTTGCGCTGCTAATGCAATGGTCTACCACTGAGCCAAAGGAACAATATTCATCCATTTAATAATTTTAATAAAAATGATAATTTACACTTAATAATACATTAGTATTACATAATGTTTTATACAATACTGAGGTGCAAATATATGCCACTATAGCATCTACTATTTACCCTTATTTCAAATAAAATACTGCTATTTTTACAGTTTAAATACAATCTATTGCTGTTTGCACTTAGTGTAAATAGTATTTATCGTATTTAATTTATAGTATTTATAGTATATACAAATATACAAATAAACTGGAATTGAAATGAAATCTATGTGATAAACAAGTTAGGTCAAAAGGACAAAAACGTTATGTAATTTTGAATCAGAAATGGATTACAATTTGTAAGTAATCTACCCATGTATGTATTTGTGTGTGTATTATTTTATTATTTATTTTTACATGAATATCCAGCTCCACAATGTACCTTGTCCACATTTCTCCTTTTATCATAACCTTGAGAGCAGAAAAAAGAGGACACAGACAGCGCAGGGAGGGTGTAGGGATGGGGTTTGTCAGTGACTGTTGTGTGAGAGAGGGTGAGAGAGAGCTACACTGCAGTATTTTATGCCTACAGCAAGCTGAACCGGTGAATATTGGTACATGACCATCAAATCAGTACCCCAAGAGTGGGCTAGAGACATCAATGTTAGTCAGACCCCTTATTTTCATGCTTATATAAACCCAAATATTCACTGAATAGAGTTTACAGATACTCAAGATTCTTTGTTGTTTTCAAACTACAATAATTTGACTATTATTTACTGATTCTTCTGAAACAAATGCATGCATTCAGTGATTAAATATGCATGGGGGTATGTGAAGGAGTTTTAAAGCGTCTCTGCTGTGGTACAGACCGCAGAGAGAAACGGACTAAATATACATGAAGGTAAAAGGGTGGGTGGAGACGACATTGACGTAGTGCTGGTATTGAGTAACACGCACGGCCGAGTGCTGACTCTGCATGTGTGTGTGTATATTTATGCTGAACATGTGTGTGTGTGTGTGTGTGTGTGTGTGTGTCTGTATTCCAGCCCACACGAGCCTATGTAGGATACAGTGACATGATGCAGTACTGCATCATTTGTAGCACAAAAAACACTATGTATATGATGTATCATTGTATATCTGTATAGTTCAAATGTTGCCTAGTAATCACACTGGATTTAACGCACTATAAATCATAATAGTTACTGAAGCTATTTACATATGCGTGAGGTTTGTGTGTGTGTATGTTTTCTCTGAACACAGCTGCTCTAGTTCTTGCTCTCTATCCATGAGGACACCAGATTTTTCTAAAGGGAGGGGGACGGACTAAACTGCAGCATTTTGAGGGGGGTGAGGATTGGATTGGAGGGTATGATGAAGTTGCTGCTACTACTGCAGAGAGCTGGGCCGATAAAGCATAACTGCTGCAGCAGTGAGAACTTGTCCAGAAACACAAAACTTCTGACTGCAGAGGGATGAAATGGTGCAGAGGTGGAGAAAATAAACCTTTAGACATCATGATAAAAAATACTAATAACAATGTGACTTATAGTGTAAACTTAATACAGATACAGATTAAGAAGTCATTTATTTACATTGAACTTGAAAACATTGGAAAAAAAAAATGACTTTAAGGCTTTGTAAACGCATATTGCTCAGAGTAGAATGACATTAATAACTTAAAATATTTTACATTTATTGGGATTCAAAAGTTTGAGACCTTGAGAGCAAATGGTTAATGTTTAAGTGAAGCCTGAATTTCAGAATGTCTTTTCAGTGATTTTCACTGTGTTCTCAGATTCTTGCACTGTAATATTTTAAATGTGAAAAAAAGCGGAAGCGGAGTGATACAAACCGTGAAACAGTTGGAGGAGTTCTGTTATCACTGTATAAAAGTTTAGGGTCAAAAAAAACAAAAGAATCACAGTTTCCACAAAAAAAAAACCATAATAATACATTAAAAAAAAGCTGCTTAACTATTTTCAGCATTGATAATAATAATACGTGAGCACTAAATTAAAATGAAAATGATTTCTGAAATATCATGTAACACTGAGTACCTGGAGTATTGGCTGCTGAAAATTCAACTCTACCATCACAGGAATAAATTACATTAAAAAAAATGTCCAAGCAGGAAACAATCATTTTAAATTGTATTAATAGTTTACAAAATTACTGTTTTTACTGTATTTTAATCAAATAAATGCTGTTTTGGTGAGCATAACAGACTTCTTTCAAAAACATTACAAAATCTTACCAACCCCCAACCAATATGAACAAGGCTTATCCAATTTGAATTTACAATCAAAACTAGTAATTTTATAATAAAATTAACTTTTAAAGGGTTTGAATGACAAAATGATGTATCCATGATCAGAAGCTAAATAAGACTATTCAAACCATTTTGAAAGTTAAAAAAAAGAAGCTTGTATACTCTGTTGAAAAAAAAAACAACATATGCTGGCTGCTGGTTTGACGACACAGTCCTGCTCAGGACCAGCACATGACCAGCTTAAACCAGCTCATGGCCAGCTAAGAACCAGCTCAAAACATACCTAACCAGCATATGCTGTTTTTTTTCATCAGGATATATTTTGGGAATGACATTTTAACTTACTTGAAAATGCATTTTCATGCACACTATATAAAACATGCATTCACTTTACAGAAGTATCTCACCCATCAGATGGCAGGAATTAGATGTGTATATTTGCATCTCTCATAGCCTGTCCAGTGAACTCCATGGATGTGCTGGTGCCACCACAGATCTACGCTCTCAATGGGACAGATGTCAGAATCCCCTGTGCGTTCACCTCATGCTACAAGCTGGACCCCAGCAAGTTTGCCATGAACTGGACCTATCAGGAGACAAGCAACAGCACAGAGAAAATGGTGAGTGAAAACAAAGACTAAACATGCTAATACCATTGTAATGCCAATTCCTTAAAGTTACATGATTTCCTTGTTTGTTTATTTTTCTCAATCTACCTTCATCCAAAATGTCTTCTTTTCCAAGTTCATGACCTATAAGAACAAGATAACACCCTTGAAGTCAAGCCGATTTGGAGATCGAGTCCTATTTTCTGGAAACCTGGATAAGAACGACCTGTCCATCACTATCTTAGATGTGCAGCTGACGGACGAGGGCATCTACAACTGCTATGTGCGGAACCCTCCAGACCGCATTCAGGGTCATGGCACCATCCAATTTGTCGTCCTGACCGAATGTAAGGCTTCAGCATGGGCCAAGAAGCTGTACAACAAAAGTTGTCTGGCCTCCAAGCAGGGTTATTTCATTAGAGGCCATGATGAATGGGGTTTCCTTATTGCAGGTGTTGTTAAGTCAGGAATTAGAATAGAGTGCTGCATTGATGACCTATTTTTGTAGGCCAATCCGAAGTTAGCATCGCCCTGGTTCCCTCAACAAAAATCCAAATTTCCATTGGCTCTGTGAACAACAAACATTTATGATTCTTACATGTTTTTTTTTTCATCATGAAACAGATGAAACAAATTTTCATAAATGAACAACATTTCTGAATCAGAATCAGAAATCAGAAAGCGCTTTAAATATGTTTGCTCATACAAGGAATTTGTTCTGGTAACAGAAGCGTCTAGTACACAGAGACAACGTCAACATGCAGATAATAAGAAATAAAGATATGTGAATAAAAATACACATTTGTATATATATATATATATATATATATATATATATATATATACTAAATTTGTATGTACAGTTGTGGATACAAATCAGACTCATTCCCAGGTTTTGGCCTACAAACATACGTCACTCTATTAATTTGACGAAAGCACCTAGGTTTTGTATTCATAGTTCATCACAACGAAACAACCTTAATTTGCTCAGAAAGATTTAAACAGTTGCTACACTCTG